GTATTGTTCAAAAGAACCTTTAATTTTCTTTATTTCGGTGTATGATTGATGGATGTAATATGGGTTGTAGAGTATACAGCTTAGCCTTACTCCAGATGTGTACCTTTCAAAAAATGTGCTAGCTCCACTTGTTCATTTTTCACTTTCTGAACTTTAAATGTAAATTGTAGAAAAAAAAGAGCCGATATAGCTTTTTGACATTTCATATATTTGGTAATTAAAAATTGCACTTTCAGAAGCTGGTATTGCCTAGTCTGGCAAACTTCAGTTTCCATATTTCAATAGCTGCTAAGAATAGTGTACTGTAGACAAATTCAGGATGATTTTTTGAGAACAATGGAGCAGACATTTTAGTCAGCAGTGTGCTAAGATCATTTACAATTTCCAACAGTACAATATCCAAAGAAATGTCAGCCACATTACACCAATGTAGTATTTCTCTCCACTGTGCATGTTTTAAATGCAAACAACTTCACCGTACTTACGCCACTCTCTCAAAGGTACACAATAACTGGTGAGCGCCACCAAAGGTGTCAGTCGTTCATCCTATATGAATGTCATGACGACAGCATTTCAGAATCGGAATATGAATGAATGATCGCTATGACATGGAGTTTGCTAAATATACTTAAAATGCTGTGTACTAAATTATATTAAAATGTTATGCTGACATTCATTATGTGTACTACATCACCTAATTTGAAAATGATGTTAATTATAAGAGATGGTTTCTACATTCAACAGATGAAAGGAAGAAATTGTCTTATCTTGAAAACCTGGGATTTCATTTTCCCCGGTGGAGTTTCAGTTTCTTTGAGGATTTCTTGTTCAAAATCCAGCATTTGGGAGCCCTTGGTGGTAGAGTGGTTTAAAGTGTTTACTTTCAGCACAGATTTGAGTCTCACCTTGACCAGCGGTGGGATGTGAGAATATTAACCAAGTAGGCCATAGAACACAATTAATTTTATTATATAGTCTCTACATTTGTTTCTCAGTACTGAACTTTCCACTGTGTGACAATCAATACAAATCATATGTTAATCTAAAATACCTTCAAAGATGACTTTACGGTGAAGTTTTTGTCAAGGGTTGACCTGCATTTTTTGAGAGCCTGAATTGTAAACAAAACGCCATACAACGGAACAGATAACACTTCCGAATCATCACCATGGCCTTATTACTAACTGTTCTCTGTCGCCGAAATACACACAGAAAACCACATCATAAGCTCACATTCAAAAGAATACACAATTGCCTTTAAATCCTTTCCAAGAATCCCAAAATCTAACTCTTGTATCACCACCAAACGGAGACAGGAAAAAACAACGATCTAAAAATAGAATGGGACTACATTCGTGGGTACTGAACCAGATAGCATTAATTGTGCACTGATTCCAGTAGCTTCCTGTGTCTCGTTTGTTCTTCTCGGGATGTTTTCTCCACCTGATATACTGGTCACCATATATAAATTAACATGCGATAAAAGTTGGCGTTGAATCTACAAGACCGAAAACAAGACCAATTGTCCAATATTACTGCTATCAAAATAATTTCTATTGGTACATTTGCCGCATTCATATGTGATGATAGTTTATGTAGAGTTCTTTTCAACAACAAGCCCTAATTTATTTGTGGGACAAATCTCAGATCAAAAGAGAAAGCAAAATAGTTTTTGGCCGCCTTCATGGAGGTGCCATTCTTGCTATGGGGACAGTTAAATCGCTGAGATACCGAGATGTACTGGGTTCGAACTGAAAAATGAAAGTATAACTTGACTGTTCCAGTGGCCTAGTGTGGTTAGAGGGGCCGCCGCGGAAGCAAGAGGTCACGGGTTCGAACCCTGGCTGAGTAATAACAGTCTTTAAAATGGTACTAACAGCAGCCTCGCTTGACGCTCAGCATTAAGAGGTTAGTGTTACGACTGGTCGGTCTGGTGTCAGAATAATGTGACTGGGAGGGACATCATGCTACAGTGCTAGACATCACTATAAAGACATCATGGCTATATGACTGAAAATTTGTTATGGCTACGATAAAAATCATAATCACATCATATATATATATATATATATATATATATATATATATATATATATATATATATATATATATATATATATATATATATATATATATATATATATATATATGTGTGTGTGTGTGTGTGTGTGTGCGTGTGTACTATAAATCAAAGTATTAATATTTATATTATGCTGTGGTTATTGTTTATGGGGGAATATGTTTAAAATCCGGGCACTGGAACGAATATTTTATTTTTTTATGTTTATTTTTGTTGGGTTTCTGAAATTCGAAACCCAAAAGACTGAAGTTATAATGAAACAACCATTATGCATGTGATAGTGAAGCACACATGCAACAGCCTTTCTACCATGGTGATCGTATATTCAAACGGCAGTCACTCACGTAACGGGTGAGTGACATTAACTTAAACAACGTCATGTTTAAGTGCATATTTCTAACAAACATATGACTATAAAAGATAAGGCTTGGTCAAGTGTCGGTGAAGTTTTGTAAATTAGCAAACGATATCCTGGTAATCCTGTAGTAACATATGAAATATTTTTTTCCTAACTTTTACATCCACGTAGTGGTTAGAGCGTCCGCCTCGGATGCGGGAGGTCGTGGGTTCGATCCCCGGTCGAGTCATACCAAAGAGTTACAAAAATGGTACTAACAGCTGCCTCGCTTGACGCTTAGCATTAAGAGGTTTTTGTTAGGACTGGTCGGCCTGGTGTCAGAATAATGTGACTGGGTGGGACATCATGCTACATATCTGCGGCATAATGCCCCAGTGCTAGACTAGACATCACTATAAACCGCCACGCTGCAGATATCTTAGCGATATGACTGAAAAATTGTTAAAGCTACGTTAAAAATTATAAATACCAACACGCCCTAATTTTAATTATAATCGTGCAATGTAGGTAATCATCTCAGGTAGAATTAATTACAAACAAGGTCTAGGTTCATTAATTCTCGTGTTGAAGCCATAAGGCCAAATTGCACCCAGTAAGGATCTTCTAATCGTACCACCTGATCAGACGAGGACGGCTGGAAAGTTTAGGGATTGGTCTCTTCTATTCTTTAGAAGGTGAAAATGCCTACAAGCACTTCTGTCCGGAAACGTCGGTGAACTTTTTAGACCCTAATTAATTTTATCGCGCGTGCTAGATTTTGATCAAAGGGAAGGTCATTTCGGTATAGATGTGTCCCAATCAGGTCACTAGCAGACGATATTCTACCTTTGTACCTGGACGATATGGGCAACCAAATATTTCATTTTGAACTGCTATATTTGACAAATTGTACATATGGATGTAAAAACGCAACTATATATAATGTGGCCTTTTCGGGTTTCATGATTATGTTGGAAGAAAACGTGGAATATGTCTTGTCTTGCCGTCCTTACATATACACATATATAGCACACATACAATATAGCAATATACATATAGCATACACAGGACATAGACACCCATTAGGCAAGGGTCACTTCGGAAAAAAATGGGGAAGCACTTTCCCAATCTGATGACTAAAATCAGAGAGGGAGATCACACTCTAGATACACTAGGGATGGGAAAAATTCCTCAGTAAAATTGGGTCTTCAAAATTATGATATAAATAAGGCATCTGCATCACATCGGGAGTGCACATAAACACATAAAAGCCTTTGTGATTTAGAGGGGGGCATCTGTCAGGTGCCCCTCCCCCATGTCTTGTCTTGGAACTGGAACTGTCTCACTCGAGAAATTGCAAAACCAGGTGAAGTGGTAAAATAGAGAACATTCGGGTACGTTGGTGAGTAAATTGACGACGAAACCGCATGATAGGTTGTAGATGGTAGCAAGTATAACTGGTCAGGAAGAACCCATGAAAACTGAGTTAAGAACTGCGTACCCATTGAAAGATAGTGGCAAACTTTCTCACGTACCCACATTGTCCCCTTCCGAGACTAGAACCCAAGCGGACAAAGATGAGATAGCAGTGGCAAATACAATGTCATTTAAACCACAACTAAATATTTTCGTCGGAAATAAGATGTAAATAGTGTATATATACTTCATGGAAAACATATAGGTTTTAATATGATGTGCCATTTTGTGGCTAAAGTTTTAAAAATTAAAACACATGGTAATACGATTTTTTTATTTAATAAATTATTTTTTAAAAAAAACAAAACAAAATACGCCGTTAAATTGATTTTGAAAAGTTATTTATACGATATATTATATATTTTTTTTTTATAAACGTCACTTGTCAGGAAATTGGTGTCATTGTTACTGAAAACACATGCAAATTATTTAATGAATAATTTAATGTAATGCAAAATGGCCCCAATAAGCTGTCAAGATGAATTATGAAGATATTGCATTCTATTTCTTGGATATATATGAACATGATATGAATGTTGATATTTGCATCTCAGACTACTATCAGTACATTGTTAAATAAGAGAATGATCAAAACTTTTGAAATGTTTCTGTGGTAGTTTTGGGGTCAAGCGCCATTTTTTAGGACACGATAGGTTATACATGGCGGCCAGTATTAATGGTGAAGGAAGAATCTGTGAAATTCGCGGAAAGAATCATCGACCCACGAGAAGCTATTGGCAAGCTTTCTCGCATATCCACACTTGCCAAATCTTAGATTCGAACCAACGCCGACATAGGTGAGATGGCAGTGATCCGTAACGGAGAGTGCTTTAGACCCCTAGGTCATTCAAGGCCCCGAAATGTTACTGTTAGCTACATTTTGAAATTGTGTGTGTGTGTGTGTGTGTGTGTGTGTGTGTGTGTGTGTGTGTGTCTTGGATTTTTATTGCAGCTTTGAAAAAATGTTTAGTGATATTGCTACGATATCTGATGTGTTAGAATTTATAGTAATGTCTAGCAATGGGGCATCTTGCCACAGATATGCAACATCATGTCTCACCAGTCACATTATCCATCTGCTAGTACCTTTTTTATAAGTCTTTGGTATGACTCGGTCGGGGTTCAAACCCGCAAACCTCCATCATCCGAGGCGGATGCTCTAACCACTAGGCCACTGAAGCGGTGATTTTAAAACATCAATTTTAAATTAGTTTTAATGAGTAAACACTATGCATGCTTTCCATATCAATGCTATTAGAAACATAACTAGTTAAAGTGTATGATATGGTATCTGAGGCGCGCAATTGTGATCTAGAAAATTGATACTACGGTAATCTCTGACGCTATAATATTAAGTATGACCACATGGGGGTCAAAATTAATTTAACATTAAAACAGATCACAGAGAAAGCTATCGAAATTTAATATTAAAAAATATCCTATGCCATATGGGTTCTTAGGAAGATGTAACTTTAAAAGCGTCTATAGTTAATCATGTGTTATGATCCTATGGACCTTGTTTTGAATATAATATGGAATATGGTGGAATTCCACGAGTCGTGATCTACCTTCACTGACCAAGACTTATCCTAAATCGTAACTCTCAAAAACCAACAAATACAAACAAGGAAACAACAAGGAGACAGGTGTTGGGGGTGTAAAGAAGGAGGTACAGTCATGTGGATTACCACTTATTGACCATGCACACCCGCTATGCAACATATAGAAACCAGTCTGAGGAAGGAAGGTGTTGATAGGTTATTCTCACTCGCACACTTATGTATTATCCGATATACCATCTTACAACAATGTCATGATATATGTTGGATACGACCCGTTTTTGCTGAGTCACTATGACATGTCAAGAAAATTGGTTCATTTGATACTTCCTCCTCCAATGCAAAATGACAAAATATATATTATAGACTCAATGTTATTGCCAAATCCCCCCCCCAATACATCACCTGACCACGTATCAAGTGAACTAATGCGGCATAACCACATACATCATTTCCTACATTTTAAAAACGTAACATTATCCAGGACTATACGAATCCGCTTGCCCGACGCTAAAGAAAAACTAAAATTCGGCTCAGTAAATTTAAGTTTGCAAAGTAATTTGCTGGCGGGCAAGATAAAACTTTAGAACAGAGGATGAGTCAGCGAGAAAGATAGATCATATTCTCTTCATACTGCTTTATGTTATGCAAGTTGTTGAATTTGCGATATCGGCACAGTATATATATATATATATATATATATATATATATATATATATATATATATATATATATATATATATATATATATATATATATATATATATATATATATATATATATATCAGCATCTTTATTTCGCGTTTATATGTAATTTTTATTAGTTTCTTTCAAATTTCGATCATCTGTTTTTCACCTCGCAGTCAAAATATGTTCTTTCCATTTCAAAGTCAATGTCATGGTCAGCCTAACATTACTATGTGCAGAAAGACAATATCGTCTGAAACGTATTTTAGTTATTAAGAGATATGGGCAGGAGTTATCCGAAGATGACATAAAGTTTCAAAAATATCGAGTACATCCCAATACGAGGTAAGTTTTATTTTCGTATATTTAAGGACAATAAACTTTTAAATGGCGATACCGATAGCATACATGTGTGTAGTTAATTAAATAAGCAAATAATGAGGGGTTTCGTGCCTGTATGAGTGTGTACGTTTAGTATTCATTATATTAAGGTGATTTCTCAGGCCCTGCCCTAGAATGTGCGGGGCCCAAGATAGCGTGCGGAGCGATGAGCGCGGGGTCACAACAAGAAAGTGATGAGAAGCGATGGGCCTAAGGTGGTTGCCTCGTTCGCATTGCCCTAAGGCCGAGCCTGTGAATTATGGCAATATAAAAATAGTGTTGAGTTAGATAAATATTTTTCAGTGTTTTTCGAGAAACTGCATGGTAATGTTTTTAACTCATAGTCCCTCACATTCCATCTTTACAGTGAATTAAGTTAGCTATTTCATGGGTGCATGCGGCTACGACAGTGAAAATGTTGACCACTCTTTTTTTAATTGCCGATTATTTAATATTCGATGTTCTTTCGCTGTGTCTTTTAACACCTGCGTTGACTTTGGATTCAGTACTGAAAGGAGAAAACAAACTAAAACAAAAAGAACAACAAATTCTTTCATACTTCTAAATGGTCAGAAAAAATATATTCATAAAACTGGGCGTTTTTATTAGATGAAATAAAATAAAAGAAATTGACAAAAGTGACTGTAACCAATGTAACGTCTTTTCCCTATGTGGCAGTTTAGAGCGATGTCTAGCACTGGGGCATCATGCCAAAGACTTGTAGCATGATATCCCAAAGAGTCACATTATCGTAATAAAAGGGCGATCAGTCCTAGCACTGACCTCCTAATGTTGTGCGCCAAGCGAGGCAGCTGTTAGTACCATTTTTTAAAAATATTTTTTGTATGACTTGGCCGGGGTTCAAACCCACTACCTTCCCCATTTGAGGCGGACAATGTGTAGGATGTACGTTGGGTACTAAGTTAAGTTTGCCATGTTTGTAGAAAGAAGGCATATTCTTATATATATATATATATATATATATATATATATATATATATATATATATATATATATATATATATATATATATATATATATATATATATATATATATATATTGCTGTAAGGACACAATTATGTATGTAATCTACACTTAAGTATTTGTTTCATATGATGGATTTCATGATAGTGAGTAAAAGCGTTTACTTTAATTAAAAATAAATCTATAAATATTTTTTCCATAATTGCTAAAAGAAGGATAGGAGGATTGGGAATTGAGATTTCCCTAGTTCTTCCCAAATATATTCCTGAACAAAATTTCATTTCTGAATTATTTTATTAAATTCTCAAATAGGTTACTAGTTCTTCACTGCGCATGCTCCATGATTGTCATCAGGGTCGCCTTCTTTTTGTTGTTAATGCCTTCGTGATGGTCGTCATCGTTACCACAGCAACGAGTACAATTATCATCACGATTATAACTAACAACCACAACATGCGTCATCGTCATCACCAGCATCATAAAGCGACAAGACTTAGTTATATTGTCATTATGTCTGGTAAATATGCTAGTGTCATGTAAACAGCAGCATAAAATCTGACACCAGAAGGGTTAGAGGTTTGAGAATGGCATCTCGCCTTCCTCCCCAATATCAAAGTGAAATAAAAATGTCATCTGCGAACTATTTTATTAAATTATTGATATTTATGATTTTCTTGTCACCATTACACTTAATAATTGCCCTCAAGGTCGTCCTATTAAACCTCGTTGTCAAGTTTGTCTTCATCAACATCGTTATAGGCATCATTACCACTATTAAAATGGAATCAGTATTACTACCACCGTCACGGTATCATCATCAATATATCCGCTAGCGCCATCATCATCACTTTTATCAACATGTCCTCTAATTGTCGATCGCTCCGGAGGCCTAGTGGCTACAGCATACCCCTCGGTTAGAACCTCGGCCAAGTGATACCAAAATTTTATATAAATAGTACTAGTAGCTGCCTCGCGTGGCGCTCATCATTGTAAAGTTGGTGTTAGGACAGGATAACTGTGGCAGGTGGGGCACGATGCTACATGTCTGTAGTATGATGCCCCAGTGTTAGACATAACAATATACTGTTATACTGCATACATCGTAGCGATATGACTGAATTTTTTTTAAAGCTGTGATAACAATCCTCAAAACACACACACACACACACACACACACACACACACACACACACACACTTATTGTTGCATTTTATTGTGTTACCATCCGCAAGGTAACAGATGTATAATTTAGCAATATTGCCAGTAGGATTGGTTACCATGAATGTTTCAGGTAACAAGCTGCACAGAACTGAGACAAAGGTGCAAAATCAATCAGTCGTTCATTGTCGTAATCCACCGCGTGGTCCATGCCTCGACGGTTACAGGTCTGAGGCGGACTATATTAGGCGGAAACGAGACGTTACTATATGAGACATATTTTTAGCGTTAGAGAACGCACTTCTACATGCGAGTATTAACACACGTGTGTGCGAGAAAGTACGGTCTACTAGATTTTGGATTAAATTAACCTACTGTTTCATTTGACCACTAATTTACGTGTTTTCATTCAGTTGACGTGATTTTCTTTATAATACTACATTCATTGGCTCAAATTTTCCAGTTCTTTGTTCCAGTCCGTGATTGCTGTTAGGACGTAATACATTCCATTCCAAGTGTTCCTTTTATTCACAGGAAGCTGGGACATATAGACATGTTTACTCTTCAGCTTAGAGTTTCCACCCATTTTAAGCGTTACCTTTAAAGAACTGGAACTCAGAAATACTAAGCAGATATCTATTATTCGGTTTCTCGAACAAATTTATACACACCATATGGTAGTTATTTATACAGTCGAATCAAATGTTTTCCTTGATAAAACGGTAACATAAAGAGGGAGTTCTTTGTGTGAGTAATTCTGGCGCAGGCTAACATGAGAGGCAGTATTGTGTATTCAGGTATGCATGTAGGATGTTTGCTGTAAGTTGAAACACACCGCACTTGTCCGTTAGGCTATAGACAGGGAACATGAATCAAGGGAGCTTATGTTCAGGTAATTACTGCATATTTGTATTATATTTTCCCTAGCTTTAACATTTAGAATGCGAAGAGAATTGCATGGACATGCATGAAAGCATTTGTACAATTTAGCAGCAGTCTGTTTGTTTATCCTAAAACACTATTACTAACAGTGTGCTCTAAATTAATGTACCTATCTATAGATATCGGTAAATGAAGTAGGGACATTCAACTTCCCTTTTTGTATCTATCGAGTAAAGATGTTTACCTTTTCAGTTTTCACACTCATTTTCCTGTAAAGTCCTAACATTTCACAGTGACATAGATATATATATTGTTTCCCATACACATGTATATACGGAATAACAGTTTCCTATTCCTCTGCATGACGCATAATACGTATCACTTCCTTTACTTTGTCGAAGTAATCTTTCTTGTTCACTCAGATTTTAATGAGAGTATATAGTTTTGATTTGTCTTCGTTTGCGAGGTAGTCGCAGTTGTTAGCACACTGAGCTTGCGATCGAAAAGGTGTGGGTTCGAATACTATTGT